TTTTTTTTAATTTTTAAAAGGTAAGATAAATAAGTACTATTCTTATATATGTTTTTAAATAACTAATTCAAAAAACACAATAATAGTCAACAATTTAAATAATTCAGTAATAATCTCTTTTTCATTAAAAGTAAGAGATATTAAGTTTAAATCGTATGGCATGTAAGTGTGGTGGAATAAAAGATGAGAGAAAATTGTTTTATGTTATGCAACCAAAAAGTAAAAACAATAATAAAATTAAGTTGTGCTATAAAGACAATTTTTTTATGTCACTTTTTTATATAATTTTCATGTGTCATTAAATAAGTAAATACATTCAATATCATAGGTCTCACATGAATTAAAAGAATCAATCATTTTAATAACATGTCAAATTATACAAAAAGATAAGATAAAAAAAGTTATACAAAAATCATTTTCCAATAAAATTATTGATATATTGATTTGAATGAAAAAATTTTAATTGTTTTAAAATAAAATTTTTAGTTTAAATCTTATAAACAAAAAAATAAATAATAAAAAACTTTTTTTTTTAAATTTGACATGATTCGAATTTAAATTAATCAAAATTTAATTTGATAGCAGTTAAAAAATACCATAATAAAAAAATAGTGAATATATTTATTAATTCAAATAATTTAATAATAATTTTTTTATTAAAAAATTAAATTTAAATTACACAATATATAAATAAAATAAACTATAATTATCACACATTATATAATTTAAATTAAAAAATTAATTAAAAAAAATAAGTTGTGAATATGCTTACACCCTCTCAGTAATACTACCGATTTCATCTAACGTAAGGTGTACATAATCTTCTCTTTTAAGAAATTGTGCCATTGATACTAGTATAATTAATTAGAATCTTTTTGTGGTATATATATTCATTAATTAGAATCTTAGATATGTAAAACCAGATATGGCAGTATATTACTCTAATCTTCTCATATTAATGTCCTTTCTAGACTTCGCACTCATATAAAAAGGGACAATTATTACTATAATTAATTTATATTCATTAAATCTATCACTAATTATTATTACAGTAAATCAGAATTTCAAAAAGTTGCTTAAAAATTGACGTAACAGGCAATAGAATTTTCTCATCCTATTCTTAAATTCTAGAAATAAAATAAGGGAAAGGGACCATAAGAATATCCTTAAAATCAAAGAAATACCGGCGGGTGGGTGTCCCCGAGTCATGATTCAGGTCGGCAAATCACAACTTTCTTTATTTAGAATTTACAGATTACGGTCAAAATATTTCGAGAAAGTTTTTGTACAAACATTAAATTTTATTTATTAACTTTTTATATTTAAAAATTATATTAAATTTTAATTAATTTAAAATTAAATCAAATCATATTTCATAAAAATTATTTTTTAATATTTATTTTTTTATTTTTAAAAATCAAATTTAAAATTTTATTTAAAAAATATAAATTCTTTCTACTCATATCAATAAATTATCAGTATAAACATTAATTTTTTTTCAATAACATTAAGGGTTCACATCTATATTAAGGTGATATATTTAATAAAATTAATTTACCACTTAAAGATAAATTCCAAATCTATCCTCTGAAAGATACTTATTTATTTATATATTATTAAAATGTAATATTGAAATAAATCAAAGCTTAATTAGCAAGCAAAAATGGGATCCTACCTAGGGTCTAGGTGGGCATAGGCTGAGCGTTGATCTGTTAAACGCAAAGTGCACTTAAGTGGCATCCAAGCTGGACAGATGAACGACCAAGATTGGATACCAGGCAACACGTAGCAGCTGCTTGGTGCTTACCTCATGGAAGGAAATTGTAGTAAAACATTATTATTATTATTATTATTATTATTTATTAATATCTCGATATTAAAAAATTACATTAAATTTTAATTAATATAGAGTTAAATTAAATTAAACTTTATATAAGAAAAAGTTTTATCAGTGTTTATTTTTTTATTTATAAAATTTAAATTTAATATTTTATTTAAGTAAACTAAAATTTTTTCATTCAAATTAATAAGATGTTATGTATTATTATTATTATTATTATTATTATTATTATTATTATTATTATTATTATTATTATTATGAAAAAAAAAGGAAGGAATGAAAAAGGGTCAGTGCGGGCAGATATATCGGGCAGTCGCTACATGCTTAACTTACGCCATGTGATCCCCACCTTTTTCTCTTTCCCCACCGTAAGGAATAGTAGAGGCATGGTTTCAATAAAAGAAATTTTTTAAGAATAAAAAAAGGGAAAGAAAATCAAAATTAGTAAATAAAAAATAATATATAATGGGATGGCTCCAAGAACGGCAGAGTTAAGAGCAAGGCGTGCTCTGCGCTTAGGAAGTAAAACACAGAGAGAGAAAGAGAGAGGGAAAGGCGCTCAGCTCCTCTTCTTAGTCGTTATTTGCGATTCAGTCATAGGAGATTGGTTCCTTTCTGGGTATTCTGGCGTTTGGTTTCGTTTGAATCAGAGGAGGAAAGTTGTGGAAACCAAGGAAGGAAGGAAGAAGAACCAGCGGCGAAAACAGAGATGGAGTTGTGCAATTCTTATGATGAATTTGAGAAGCTCGTTATAAAGATGAGCACTCCTAGGTTTGTTCTTCCTTCTCCCTCAAATCCTTTTCGCGATTTTCAGTACGGCTCTTTCAACCAAACATGTATCAGTTTGTTTTTGTTCTTCATGTG